ACAGTATGCAAAGCCTTCGAGTGAGCATGGTGCCACCACAGTACGCAAGGCCTTCAAGCGAGCATGGTGCCACCACAGTACGCAAGGCCTTCAAGTGAGCGTGGTGCCACCACGGTACGCAAGGCCTTCAAGTGAGCATAGTACGCAAGGCCTTCAAGCGAGCATGGTGCCACCACAGTATGCAAGGCCTTCAAGTGTGCATGGTGCCACCACAGTATGCAAAACCTTTAAGCGAGCATGGTGCCACCACAGTACGCAAGGCCTTCAAGTGAGCATGGTGCCACCACAGTACGCAAGGCTTTCAAGCGAGCATGGTACCACTTATCCCTTGATTTTTTTACAACTAGTGAATGTGAAGGCACAGTTTCATTTTATCTCAAATTAGTGTTGTGCATACTCTCTGCTAGATGTGCTTGAGCAAGTGAATGTCACATACTTGATTTGTCACCCAAGGACGATCATTTGTTTATGCATGAAGCCATTGTGGTTGGATGTAACAATGCGTGGCTATACAAGGCAGTACTAGGCAATGCTACACAATTGTCACAACATTTAATACTATAGAGTTTGTTTTGAGCTTTAATACAGACTGATCAGGTGATAGTGACAGTTTTCAACAGTCTGAGGATATTGGGGAGGTCATTTCCTCTCTGATCATGTGTTTATTGACAGTGTTCAAAATGCATGGAATGTTCAGCATATTAAAACCAGGGTTTTATTTTGAATTTGAAAAATTACTGGCGTTAGCAAGTGACTGTGGTAAAAGTGAAAATTTACCAAAATTGGATCACGTTTGTACTGCATGAAGGATATTGTGTTGTATAATGTGCTTAGTGTTTTCCCTCTCATGTCAATTACGGTTGTCTTTTTGACAACCGTAATTGTGCTCAACACATGTACAGTATATGTAAGCATACCCACCAATCTAATTTATGTAGTTTTACTCTGTGATCTTGTAAGTACTGGAAATAGCCCTTACAGTTGACAGATACATGTACATGTATATTTAAAGGTTATACAGAGTGAAATATATCAGAGCTGGAACTAAAAAGTCTTCACTAATTGCTGAATGGCCACTTGGCTCTTACTGTATAAAAACATGTAACAGTATGCATTGTTTGATGTTGACATAAAGGGTGGTTTTTTTATTATCAAGATATGGTAATCCTCACTTGTCAATTTACAAGTGTAATTTTAAATCATGGAGCATATTAAAAGATTAGTTACAAAAATAAGTAAATTAACAAGAATAGAATGGAAAGACTAGCTTTGTACGTAAAATGGTACGGTACATGTGGCAATGAATTGCTGGAGAGTAATGAGGGAAACGTTTTACATAGAAAATGTTTACACGCAGGCCCCGGAGTATTTATAAAAACTTACAAATTCCACATATTTGTGATTCTTTCTGATCCAAAATATTTATTCTTAGAATGCATTTTTTTGCACAGTTTCTGATGTATGCGTAATTAATTTAAAACAGTTTTTATGCAAACCTGTGTTATGTCTTGAAGCTCAGCAAAGTTGGAAAATAAATAGCGCACAGCAACACTTGCACATACAGCTGTCCTTTGACTTCCATGATCTATGTGATAAAACTGTACAGTTTATTGTGGTAAAGACAAAAATACTGTTATTAACATTAACCTGCTTCCTTGAATGCTGTCCTTGTGGGTAGAAATGAAGGGGAACAATGTAGACCCAACAATGAAAGTGCGGACACACAACACAGAAATGTATACAATGATTACTTTGTATAAATTTCAATGTATTAAGAGTGTCGGAAATATAAATCAAGTTATCAGACTTCTTGTTGGGTGTACGCTGAAATAAATACATTTGTCACCCAAGGGCCCCTTTTTACACCTCTTTCATCTCAATTCTAGAGGGTACACTCACAAAAACCATTCTTTTGTCTGATTTCCACGACATACAATGTAAAGTAAAACCTAGAAAAATAGTCTTCAGCACTCTGCACCCAAGGTATGAAGCATATAAAATGTACAGTAGAAATTTATTTCTAGCTGCTGTTAGGCCACAGCAGGCTGAATGTTCAAACGAAAAGATCACATGGATCAATTAAAAAGGGCTGAATTTTTTTCAAGTCAAAAGAGAGTCCCGTGCAGCAGCTCACTTTTAGTTGACTTTAGTTGTGAATTATAACAATGTTGAGTTTCATAAGTTTAAATATCTCCCATACAGCTGCCTCAGTCAATGTATCTTAGTACTGAATTTCTTTCAAATTCCTGCCAATCGGAATTGTATAAAAGTTAATTCTTCACAGGTCATCATGCCAAGTAACAGCAAAATTCATTAGACACTGATGTCATTATGTAAAAAGTAAAATATGACTCGGTGTGATACATATAAGACTATCACAATACAAGATCTCGGTGTAATACTGAAGGAGATAATTTCAACAAATGTCCACAATTAACACATGATCATCCAATCATCACGGTACCAGCTGCTAAATGGGTGGCCCTACAACTAAGACCACTGCACTAGTAAGTACAGGGTCGTGGGTTCAAATCCAACCACCGAGGTTTGGAGACATCTTCCCAGAAAGCACTAGGCATATAATGCTGAACAGTACAGGTATACACATCCCCATTAGGTAAATAAGCCTTTTGCGAGTTACATTTGATTAAAATCTGGTCACTGAGTTCTTTAAATTCCTGTGAACATTACAATTTGAATCCTCCGTACTTAAGACGCCGTTGCTATACTTTGTGATTTGGAGGTTAGCTTTTGCTTAGTTACATGAGAGACACCTTGCACCAATACACTGTTTTCAATGGATAAGACGGGCACAAAGGAACCAGGCCATTCCAGACATGGTGGTCGCTATGTCAAAGCTTGCCCCCAGTCACGAGGTACAGCAACAGTGTCTTTAGTCTGGGGAATTCAAATTGCTATGTTTATGTGCAATCTGATAACTCCGTGTACCAGATTTTATTCATATTTACCTCGCAAAAGGCTTATGAGCAATGGAAGAGGAAAGCCTCTGGCACAGTTCACTTTGATAGTGTGTGATTTGACTCTGCACTGACTGCCCAGCGATTAACTTTCACCCTGAGAAAAATTTCATTTTTTTGAGGGGGGGGATTTTTCTCAAAAATCCAATCTGTTTGAGCAATTAGCAAAATAACACACTTGAACAAGCCACGTCAAGCATGGGTATAGTTCTTGAGACAATGTATTTAAGAAGTGGCAATTGTGATTAGTGCAATTGCACTTGTGCATGTCAGGTGGGGTGGAGAAAGGCTACCCCCCCCCATAAAAGAGACAGAAAACACAGATGGACAGGATGAAACTTCTCACTTTGAATGAAACACCTCAGAATTGACACCTTCCACCACTAATAATTAATCAGTTTGCTGCTAACAAAGAGGAGCGCCCCTCCCCCAGAAAGCTTTGCCCCCTTTTAGGTGACGGCCCCAACTGCTCTGCACTCATCCTGGCACCTGCTACTAGGCTTGATGTGGATGACCATGGGCATCTCAATATGGCCTCTTGTTGATGAAATTGTAGATGAGAAGGCCGGTGGCCAGAGGTTGATCCCTTGGTGCCCAGAAACCTGCATTCTGATCATACAAAATTTAACCCAAAAAAAAAAAATGAAGTACCCAAAATCCACATGAAAAAATATACCAACCATTAGAGAAGTGTTGTTATCTCAGACTATTTTCACACTTCCAGAGTTTTTTGTAGAACTTTTTCAAACATCAAATCTTGGTGCCTGGCTCATGGAACAATAACAATTGGGCAAAATGACTACGACTTCTACAAATTAAATTTCAAATATAGCCTGTTAAAAAACAGAGACAACACACAAGCTCACTCTTACAGAGTGTTTTCCATGAAGTTCTTTATTGAGGCCTCCCGCCTACTGGAAAACTGAACACATTTAAGAAAAATTATGTGTACCAACCGTTTCACTGACTTGATTTACTTACATGGCGAGTGCCAAAGAATAAATACAGTGGGCTGCAACGGTATTTCAAAAAAGCAACGTCATTTGAGAACAAACAGCATGTGTGCAGGTCAGCAAATGGCCATACTGGCAAAGGTTATGTGTTGCTGGCATCTCTGTGGTGTCTTGGAGGCTGTTTTTGTTATTTTAATTTAGTTACAATGAGTGCACAAAAGGTTTACTTTAGCCTATCCCAGTGATACAAAGCTCTTGCCCCCTGACGTGTTAATGCATAACCTCTATAGGGCAGTCTTTGTGCATGCGTATTGCCGTTCGTGAATGACCTCGGACACAATTCATTATGAGCATGTACATTTGGAATACCCAACTGGCTCAGTCAACATGGCAATACACTTACTTTGATGGTGAGGAAGGCAATGTTGTCATACTCTTTGACAAAGCCTGCTACCTGGTCTTGATCGTCAGCGTTCTTGTACAGCCAAGGTCGCCACTGAACCTCGGCCTCCCTTCTTAGATTGGTCACAAACCACTCATTGCCCAGGAAGTTATGAGTGGCATCCTGGTCTCCGCTGTAGACTAACAGGCGGTACTTCTGTACGTTAAAAAATCCCCCAAACAGGCTGGTATCAATTTGGAAAAGGGACTTCATGGATGAACAACGAACAGGCCGGAGGCTGCGAGATACTCAGAGAAGCCAAAGGACACATTACTGGTTCAAGAGTTAGGTGGGCACAATAGTTACTTTCCTTACTTCCAACTTTGTGACCTAGGTTAGAATCCCAACCAGGCCGACATGGATTAGGTCTTCATACCTTAATATTTGTCTAGGTTCTATCCTCCCTGCTGCAGAGGTGAACATTTCTTTGTCATATCTCTACAGGGTTTCTCCAGCCTTAGCTACAGTGCTAGTATCCTGGGCACTTTTTTAGACTGACAGACAGAAATGCATAATGGTCACAATGACTGGATATTTTTCAGCAAATCTTGGCAATCAAAATGTTACATCTTTGGGTGCAAAGCAACTGACGTGTAAGATCTGATGCTCCGTCTACACACACCAAACTCTGCCAAAGAAAACTCTTACTTACAAATGTGTTCAGGAGGTCTGTGTATACGCTGGACATGTCAGGATACTGTCGAGTGTACAGTTGATCAACGGTGGCACTGAACAGGCACAAGAAACAAAGTGTCATGACTCGAATGAAGCAAATGTTAAGATCAAGAAGCTGTTTCCACACAAGCAGAAAGGTGACAACTGTCTTAATGTCATAAAACCAAGGCTACGTTTCAATGATCTTACCACAGCCAACGTTAACATGCAAATCTAAAGGAAATGGCTGAATCACTTGGCCTGGGGCTTCCATGGGTGTGTGCGTTGTTTCTAGCCATAGCCAAGCAATTTGGACACGGCTTGCGGCTAACAGAACCCCATTGTGTTCCACAAACTGTAAGTGGTAAACTCAGCAACATGTACTCCAACTTCAGAGCGGAATGCGGCTAAAGATAATAATGCACAGATACAACTTTCTCTGCACGCTCAAATGTGAGCCCATTTCAGGCTGTGTTCTAGTCAGCACTGCTTTCTGTACTTACTTGCACACTTCCCATGTGGGGAAATCGTCTCCTATATGCAGGGCTGAACGGACATCACGATCATTGAGATACTTGGTCACGGCAGTAGTGTTGATGCAGGTCAGGTCTGCTTTGAGCTTCCATGACGGAATCCCTTTAATGTGCTACCCAGAGACAAGAAAAAAAGCCTGTATTAACTGTACAGGCATATTCTACGCACTGCCAAGTCTGTGGTCTGCATAGACACGTTGATGCCTGGGAAATCTGTGATCAAGTTTCCTTACAAAATCCCTTTAATTCTCTATTAAATACTCTGTGAGTCCGCATAGACACCTTGAGATGAGGCTATACAGCATGGCGAAACGATCAAACCATGGCAGTAAAACAGAAAACAATTTGCGTTTTAAGTGAATTAAATGAAACCTAGTGAGCTTGGTGCACCATAGCTGAATAGGCCCTTGGAAGTTTTTGACGAAGAGCAAAGGTTTCACTCACAAACATTTAAGGCATTTTAAGGCCCAGATCTAACGTTAATTTTCCGAATTTTGTCACACCACTGCCAAATAAAAATGGCGGTTTGATGGCCAACATTAACATATTATGATCAATGGCTGTTGTGTGCCCTACCTACTCTATGACTGCTCTGTACATGCATTAAATGTAATCTGATCTTGTACACAAGGAGTGACAAATGATTTGTCCGTAAATTGATTGTAATAAGTTTCTGACAGTCATGCTGGTGACAAATCGAGGGGATGCCACAGCTGTCTAGTAGATTTTTACAAAATTTTCACAGTAAAAAATTATCACCCCAAAAACGTTAGAAACATTGCAGAGTATTTCCAAACACGGTACTTTTTTCTTCCTTTTTTGGGGGGGGGTAAGGTTGGGCAAACGGTTTGCATGCACATAGTTTAAAACTCGCTCTCCTTTTTTATGCTATAAGGTATGAAACTGAATTTTATTTCTGAAGCGGAATTTGGGATTTTACAAAATGGAAAATTTGCCCATTTTTGAAACAGAAAATCAGTTGCTCTAGTGATGCTTAAACAGATTCACAAGTTCATTTTCCAACTGTTTTTTCATATGGAGTAATTTTTTGGGAGAAGGGGTGGTTAACAACTGGGCATAAGTTGCTTCTCCAATGACAAGGTTGAGCACTTCAGATCAATGAAAATCTTTATAGAAACTTCATACACATGCTACCTTAATACCTTTTGCTGCTTCTGAATGAGATTACTTTTGGCAAATATATGCTGCATCCCCGGTGGATAATGGTAGAATCCATCCCGACCAGCCATTCCTGAGGACACAGGTACTCCGCCAGCACAGTCACCATTGACTTTGTAGGGATTAATACCGATGTTAAGCACATCATGCACTGTTTCGTTTACCTGTGCACAATAAATGACAATTCTCTCAAATTTTTGAGACAAATTGGGTCTCTGCAAGCCACTTACGGCAGCCAGTTTGATAAAGATTTCTTGTCATTTCTTTTTTATTCGGAGAGGGGTGTTCCTACTACCTCCAATACAGACTGATTTGTCAGATTTTCATCATTCTTTACAATTCGTAATGATAATCCACAGCATCAAAAGGTGTATTTTGAAAAATTCTCCGTTTTCAATTTCCATAGATATCACTGACACTTTTGTAAGTCACCACCAGTTTTATTTTAAATGCTTTCAACAAAGTCAACTTACGGCACTTTCACACTGCTTATTGGTGTTGTTGTGGAAGTTACATTTCCCCTGTGGACAACAGGACATGCTAAGCACAGACCAGAGCCTGTCAATACGAAACAAGCATGTTATCGCCCAGCTTGTATTCGAATTCCTATTAACAACTTATTTCTTCAATTAAAAAGCAGTCAATAAAGCCATACATATAACTGCAAGTAAGATTACATTGTACATTCATCACTGGGAAAACACTCCTGACTACCTTTCAGAAAATGAAATTTAAGTTGGCAAATATTAATCATTAGTGAAAACTTTGAAAATATGACAGCTCAAAATGCCTCATTTCTGACACATCCAAGATGACAGTGGCCCAACAGAGGTGGGTGGTAGATACATTCAGAAATATTTTTCAGCTTGATTTGAAAAATGCCACCATATGCTGTCACAAAAACACTCATTTATAGGACGAGACTAGGGAGAATGTTATCGCATGTGCAAGTGTAAGTCTCACATGAAGTGTTCTACTTACTTGTCCCCAATAATGCCATGGTGATAAGCAAAATAAATAAGCGAGTTGTCTTGCAATACTAGACTAGTATGAGGATTACCAATGGCAATGCCCTGCAACAAGGAAAAAAAGAGCATGTAAAACCTGTGTTCAAAACTGTTATCAGACTGACCAAAGACTGACCAAAGAGTTTAGAAATAGGAGATACTCTTGAAATTGTATGTTCATTTTTTTGGTATTTATCTTTGGTAATATCAATGATTTAACCATTCTACGACAAAGAAACTCATGGTTTTTCCCCTTTGCTAAAGGGGCTCAGTATTTTTGGACTTGGCTTTTGAGGCTGTAGACTTGGAGCTGAGATATTCCAGTCTGATTGTGTCTGGTATTTACCCCGAACTGCAGTGGTAGTTTCTGAGAGACACTGTCCAGTTTGGCTAGTAGAAGGGGTGCATAGACCCCGCTGTACCCATCCCCAGCTATGTAGATGACATTGAGTGTGCTGTTGGGGTACTTGGTGAAGAAGGACAGAAGAGCCTGGAAGTGATCCTCTGTCACCTTTGAATGATTACAAGCAAAATGAACAATCAAAACAATGGAAGGACATAGCTGAGTCAGACTTGTTGCTCAACTCAGTGATTGAGACTTTTATACTTGGATGCTCCATTTCGATGATGAACTCTGTATTTCAAAAGTAAAGAATTTCAATCGTACCCAGCCAAGGTTGACAAATTAAGCTCGTGGAGTTTTAATGGAAATTGGCCCTCTTTGTAAGAGTGAGGATTTCTTGGCACACAAGCAATTGACCATCTGCAACAAACATTTTGAAACACAGTCACGTTTAGCTGTTTTTTCTCTTCTTTTAAACAGTCTTCATAAGAGCAAACTTTACTCAAGTCTCTGTCTAAATAATGAGAAAAAAATTCTTCAGCAACTTGAGTGAAAGAAATCAAGGACACAAAATGAATGTGTCTTGACTGGACTTGAATTCATTAGAATCAAATGATTTGTAACCAATAATTTCACAAGTCATAAAACTTACTTCTGTATCATTTGAGGCGTATGAGCTGTCAAGAGAATATGAGAAACCAGTCCCAACTGGAGCATCGATGTACAATAAATTGGCATTCTGTCGGAATCAAAAACCAAACTTCAAGTTCAAAATTAAAACAAATTTAAAGTTCTTAGAAGTAGTAGCGTGGCTGATCTACAAATACATGTATGGTCTATAGAAGGAAGATGTACATTCTAATACATACTTTTCTACATCTTGTGCTTAAAATGTAAATTTTTCATACAAACCAAATCAAAATCAGGACCAACTTATAAATTGACTTCTGAAGTTATTTTGTTGTCATGTGCTTGCCCAAGTTTAAAGGCTCTTGTGATAAATTCCAGAAAAAAACTTAAAAGTCCTTCAAGGTAATCACAGCCTAAGATAACAATGACAACATAAGAGAAGAATCTCTTGAGCTGTTACGAAAGTTGTCTGTAAAATGTCTGGTGACTCTCTCCCCCCCCCGATAATCTAAGCTACAAGAGATTCTTCGTTCAAAGCATCCTAGCAGCTTTGTTATCCTCACCAGATTCCAACTGTTCGGGTTGTACTCCAGACTGGCACCGTCCGGCTGGACCCTGAACGGACCGTTGCTAGTGAGGGCACTGTAGATGGTGCTACAGCCTGGTCCACTGCTCAGCCAGATGATGAGTGGATCTGTCACCGAATGCTCGGACTCAATGTACCTGGAGGACAAAAAGGCACAAGGATACCAACTACAGTTGAACATTTTACCATCATTTTTCAGTCATGAGTAAGTTCTGTAAGTTTCGGGAGAAGCGACTGACATAATGTATCTTGCTCGAGAACAAGCCCACAAAACCTGCAAACCTTGGAAAGAGTCCAACACATTGATACTTGTATTTCTAAGCAACAACGCAGAATACGGAGCTGCTCAAAAGACTTCTAGACTTGTGTGTGAACAAATGAAGTCACTTGCTGGTGGCTGTGCGAAGCCCATGGGGATTTACAAAGGCACAAAATTTTCAAGTATTCTCTCTCAAGCTTGGAAAGTCTTGATTCATGTTTTTTCCAGCACACTGAAATTGCAATGGCTGATCAATACTAGGTTACACAGGGTGGAAAAGTGCCATCAGAAGATTGCAGTTTTTCTCTCACTGCAGCACATATGTACACCATACCCACCAATAATGCAGCTTCTTCGTGCCTGTGCCATCCAGATAGCCTGAAAACATGTCAAAGCTTGGCTGCTTCAGCAATCCAGGCATGGCCTTGATGATATCTGGATTAGAGGCAGCACTAGCCTGGTACAGACTGATGGATGCCAGGCTGAGCAAAGCGATGAAAGTGGTAATCCATTCCATGCTGGGGCACTTGCTTAAAGTCTGCAAAATCAATGGAAAAATATCCACCTTGTTCCATTGCATTATTGGACAAAAATGTTATTTATTGAACCATGTATGTAGCTGAGCCTACATTATCCATACGGTAATAGAAAAACTTGCCCATTCAGACAGCTCAACCCACCTGCTCATTGACACAACTGGACTTTTCTGGCACCTAAAATGTTTGTACAATCAACTAACGAGACAAGTCATCCTTTCTGATAAGTTCACAAATCAACTTCCAGGCTGTTTTCTAAGCAGATGTGCATATACGGTAGACAAAGGCGGTCAAGCAGTCAAAATAACGAAACAAATTTTGGGCTGAGCATACATTGTACGGTTGGAATAGCAAGGGTATATTTGGCATGGGAATCGGATTGAGCAGGAGTTGCTCCATTGGCCCAGCGGGGCGACTGGACTGAGAGGGGGTCTGTTCGGTGCGGCGATTAGGCTGGACAAGGGTTGCTTGGTAGGCTAGGGGCAACTAAACTGGGCAGGGTTTATTTGATACATGTAGGAAGACCAGCTGAGAGGAGCTTGCTTGGGGGAGGGGGTGTTGGCTGGGCTCAGTGGGCGGGACAGGGTCTTACTTGTAGTTTGTGGTATGTGATGGAAATTTACAGAGCCAAACTTAGTCTCATGGTTGGTGGGGTTCTTCAGTCTAGGCTGGGTGGGCTTGCTTGATGACATGGGCTTACTGCTTACAGTATCCAAGAAATATGCGGAGTCTCTGTTAGCATAAAATCATGTCCTCAGCAGTGCTGTGAAATAAGTCTTTTGCAAGTTAAATTTGAACAAAACCATTTTCATTGCACATAAATATAACCATTTAAATTCCCCAGACTAAAGACACTATTGCTATACCTCGTGGGTCAGGGCAAGCTTTTGCATAGCGAGCACCATCTCTGGATGGACTGGTTCCTTTGTGCCCATCTTATCCATTGAAAACAGAGTATAAATGCAAGGTGTCTTTTATGCAACTAAGCAAAAGTTTGCCCCAAATCACAAGGTACATACATGTATGGCAACAGTGTCTTTAGTATAGAGAATTCAGTTCAGTAAGAGTTCCATACACGGACATCACTAATTTTCACTTGTAGTTTATTACTAGCCATCAGAAAGTGATAAAATCCCCTAAAAAGTCAATTTTGGTAGTGAAAATGTTGAAGCATTTACTTAGAAAACACAACTTTCCAGACCTAGACTCTAAGGTTTGTGCACAGTGTGACAAGGGATATCCGTAGGCCTAAGCCTCGGAGAATGCAACTTGTGCATGACTTCCGGCCAGTGTGGTGAAAACAAGAAGGTGAATGCACTTTTGCCATACAAAGCAAATGTAAAATGCATTTGGTTTCACCTCGCACTGACCCAAGGTCATGCAAAGTCCATCCACGAATATGGAACTCTTTCCTCAAATTTATTCTAATCATGGAGGAATTTTCCACCTAAATTTTATTCAAATGAAACTCGCAAAAGGCATTGGGCCCTGCTGATGACAAACCGTCTTAACCGTTAACGTTCATTCTACAATGGACATATTATTATTATTATTATTTATTCATGCCGTTTCTTCCTTCATCACATACAAGATGGGCATAGGAGAGGCAAAAGCAATAGCAATCACTGAGGCAAAAGACATACAACTCTGCAACAATTTGTGTAAAGAGTAAATAAATATAAATAAAACTATTAATATATTAAAGTATTTGAAACCAAAAGCTAGAGCTTATGAAATTGAATAAATTGAATGAATAAGCAAAAAATGATAAAGACACAATAAATAAGGAGACAATAAATACAAAATAATACATGTGTAAAAGAACAGTAGGTACATGTAAGTGTACAATAAATGTACTGAAAGTCTCAAGGATAATTGGCAAACAGGAGGCTGAAACAGTACTTAAAATGAGAAGAAGACCTGCTGCTGCTCATCAGGGTATGTGTAAAGTAAATAAATATGCATATATACAATAAAATATTAGAACATATGAATATTTCAATATAAAAGAAATAAAAAGAAATGAAATCAATGGAAATGAATAAAAGTGGAATGGAATAAAAATATAAGAACTGAGCATGCTGAGTGAATTAAGTAAATAAACAGTTGGCAATAAAGATACAATAAATACAAAAACATACATGCATGAGAGACGAGGTACACATGTACATAGGCCAACACTGTATACGACAAATTGATAACATGTAAATAACTGTAAATTAATTACTAGTTTTACTTAAAAAGAACATGTACATAGTACATATGCAACATAAATATGGAGTTGGGATTTATGAAAAGAAAAGACTGTTTCTAAGACCCAGATATGTCAGACGGGATAGTAGAAAAGTTTAAAAAGGCTGTGATACGTATGTGTTCAGGGCGAGTTGACCAGAGACGAGGGAAAGCATGGAAACAAGATAAATGCAGGGATTGGGTCCTAGCTACATGAGCTATATATATTATGATGGTGACAGGTAGGAAAAGATGTCCACACACATTTTCAGTGAGCAGCCACACTTAACCCTACCTACACCGTACGTATGTGCACACGGTACGCAGACATTGGGCCTAGAAAGGACTAAGCCTACTGTGCAGTATATTGTGGAGAAAAGAAAACAGAAAGTTGTATGGCCATTGCATGAACGTGGTAAAGATAATTGGTCACGTTTTCGCGAAAGCTTAAGATTTCCTTGGCCGACATACTTACAGAATATATATCAAAACCCTCAAAGTAAATTGCTCTGAGCACCTTTGAAACAGTCATGTGATAAATGCACCGATACGGCCCCGGTGCACAATACAGTGCGCGTGCTGCCGGACCAGCAGGTACAGTACATGTAGGTCTCGCTTTCGAGTTAGCCGCGTCATGCAAAGCTGGCTTGGCTGCGACCGGCTAGGCTAGTAATAGCATTATGTGTATGGGATATGCACGAAGCCTCCAGCTAACTGACGACAAGTTCCAGCCGTGTTTCATTTGTACGTGCGCCCTCTCGGGACAAAATATGACAAATAGTTTGCCGTAGCCAAACAAAATAATGATTTTTAAAAAATCCTTACCAAATAAAATATTAATCATAAATCTCAAAAAATAAATAAAATACTTGCAATTCCCTTGAATGTTGGAGTAATCATTCATTTTCTGTTCAATTTATAAGTGCTCATCCACTGGTTATAGAGGTAAAATTTCCTTTCACAGATGATCATCTCCAAAAGTTGTCTCGAAGGTTTAAACAGCACTTTCCAGGGCGCCGTTTCAACTGCACTTCCCAATCTGACAGCCCCGCCACTTCCAACAGCATTGTTATTTCTTTTTTGAAAATCAATGAGTACATAAACCTCTACTCCCTCTAACAGCAACTTTGGGGCATACAAATCCTGATTTGGTCCACGATTTTGTACTTATTTATTGACCCACAGCCCTCGATTTACTTGGCATCAACAGTTGTACAGAAAGTCCCAAACACAACCGCAAATAATTTCAACCTGATTACAGGTAGCTACAGAAAAATCAGCCACACTCGCGGAAAGGATGAGTTCCAATTTAAATGCTTTTTCCAGTAATCTGAACTCCAAAAAAATCGAAAAGACATGAAGGCACGTGATGCAGTGTTTATTGCAAACGACACCAATCTTTATTTCATACTCATCAAAAAGAAACCCTTTACAAAAGCAGTATTTCCCTCAAAATACTGAACTCCTCTCTGATACATTTATAACAGCTTTAAATGATGAAAAATAAAGAAAAAATACAAAAAGAGGGTATACATTTAACCAATTTGTTATCTGTAACAGACACTCTCTGAGTCACAAATAAGCCCACAGAACAATGACTTCATGGTAAAGTATTTGTCGATTACTGTAATACTGTGCAACCTGCACTAATGTAAGCTGGTTCTGAATTTTTTGGCTTTTGAGACAGGTGTGCCTGGCTATATCGGAAATTCAGTCTAAAAAAAAAGGCTTAGACTTCTTGTGGGTTATTAAATGTGCAGCTTTGTAAAAAGAAACAAAATCAATGTACGTAAGTGGTAACATTTGTGCAGCAAACATCCATTACATTTATACAACTAATTTCTACTTAAGGCAAAAAGGAACGGTCAATAATCAAGGCAAGAAAATATATATTTACAAGGCTTCAGGCGGATTTGCAGAGAATAAAAGTCTCCACAATACAATAGGACAAACTATTCTTACTCTACATTATAATGTTCAACAAAATTTGTCTGATATTATGGGTGTATACATATTCATTTTAAAGACAAAACATGCATATTACAATAAATGATTACACATGTAAATTTTATGAATAGAAAACAAGAGCATGACAAAAGGGTTACTGCATAAATAGGACAGCACTTCTTTAAGATTACTCTTGATACTACGACTGAAAATATATACACAAGTGCAAAACAATTTTTGGAATGACATTAAAATGAACATTTACATGTACTTCTCTACCCTTCGTGTTCAATAACAAATTTGAATAAATACATTACAGTTCAATTCCAATTGAAGCCTCATCAGAGAAGGAAAAGCAAGCTGTATCACAAAATTCTAGATGAACATCGTACATGCATACTCTTTCACTATTTTTTTTAAAAACTGCAGTCAAGAATCCTAAGTTTACCTTAGAATTCTCACTATGTGATCAGACTCTGTGCTTGCAACAAATACAACAGATGAGGTGAGGTACTACATGTACCATCCCAGTTCCATTTAGGGAGGTCCAAACCACAACTACACTTTCTGTTGAGTCCATTCACATGTACATTATGTGACTTGACCCTTGGAAGTAAGCATTTCAGACAAAAATGGTACCACAGTGTCTTGGCACTATGTACAAACCTCACAATTTCACTGAACAGCACCCTCAGTTTTTGACCCCATCTGTACATTTTCCATGGTGGCATTCACAATCCCACTAACCCATGTCTGATATAAAAAACATGAATTGTTAACGTCTACTTAATTCCATTTCTTAACATCTTAATTTTTAGTACAGTTAATTCAATTAGTACAGAACAATAATTGCAGCCTTGTGGAACTATGACTTCTGTGAAGTATCAAAGACTTTTCAAATGTACTTCTGAATTCAAAGTCTGAATTTAATATACAAATATTGCACATTTTAACACGAATGTCAATGAGAAAGCAAAATGTGGCAAACTGTAACATCTACTGAACTTGATTAAATGGACTTCAATTCTACTTGAATGCTTTGGAACAAATCTGAACTGGCAGATCTCTGGTACTTTCACTTAAGACACCGATTCATTGACAGAAGCATGCAAACATTTTCTGAAATTATTTACACTCATGCAGAAAAATATCATCTCCTAAGTACAGTGGTGAAATTTCTTCACTAAAAAAAAATCAGTCACTCTTCCCAGGTAACAAAATAGAGAGAACTCTTTTCCAACATCTTGCATCCAGTTTCTTACTTGAAATATTACATTTTGACTTCTTATTTATACAGTACTGTCGTCAGACAACTACAGTTCAACAGAGCACTTTAGGAAGGAAGTACTGGAATTCATTTGAAAACGAACTTTGGTTTTCAATTTAAGAACATAATTTGTGGGCAATGATGGTTGCCTTGATGATAACAGAGACTTTTCTATTTGCAACGAAAAAAGCTGCACATTTTCCAATGCCATTTTACCACTATTAATTCATGCACAATGAACATGTGAAATTGATTTTGATGAGAAAAAATTTGGTAGGATTGTGGACCTATTACAGGATTTGATTCAGTGACTTCAAGGACCCAGAATACTGCTTCTCCACGGTCAGCTCATTCATTTGTTCTAATAAAATAAATCTGAAGTTGGAATTCCTCAAAATTTTGTAAAAGTGGCCTGGCATGGCAAGTGAAACTTGCGTCAATATCACCCCGCTATCATGATTGTGCTTGACATTTTTCAAAACCCACCCACGCAGGCCCAACATGCAGCTACCAAGTACATGTAGACATGTACATGTAATGATGTCCTTTTCCCTTTTCTGCAATGTTTTGTTTCAAGCTAACTTACATAATGCCAGGTCTTAACTGTTTTTTTGGCTCTCTGTCAATCAGTTAGCTATGTCAGCAATCACACATTCTTGTCCTTGATCAGGGCTTAAACCATGTTGCCAATTAATCTCATCTTGTTAAGAAATTATCTGCATTTGGTATGGCATGGCATTAATTATCAGACCTGACAATCCCTATCTTTACCTCAGGGCCTTCATATGCTGGTCTCTCTCTTCATGTTATTTTTAAATGTGATAGGAGAGAGATAAACATTTCATTAAAGTGCATCAGGTTAATGCACTACTAGAAGTCTTTAAGGAAGAACAAAGTGGATTCAATCCAATTTTACAGATAAAACAAGTTGCACAGTACAGTTCTGATTAAAATTACAATGCTTGTGGAAATCAATGAGTCATTGATCAGGTACACACTGCAAATCAATGTAGTTTGACAAAAGAAATTGAATAAAAAGGGACTGAACCTGCCATATCTGGAACACTGTTCTATAGCTCAAGCAACTGTAATATCTAGTGAAAAGATTTTGAAGTCTTAAGTCCATAATCTCTTTGTTCAACTGAATACACATGTATGCATTTGTTATCCTGGTGGAAAAATGTGACCAGTGAGCAGTGCTGTACAGAACTCACTCCCATTCTCAAGTTTTAGCAGTATTTATACTGGTAAACATAAAACTGGTACCAGCATGGAAAGAATACTGTACTACGACACTGTAGGATTCGAAGCACTGACAGCCCAGTTTCTGGAAATGGTGCTCAACCAATGAAGCTAATCTTTCCTACATTGGCTGGTCCCAATTTTTGTTAATGTAATGCAAAGTTGTTCAAGACAAGCACTTTTTAATGAAGAAGTCAAAGCTTAACTCACTATCTCCTTTAAGTTGATGAAAATGCTCTTTTAAATTGTTTTGTGTCTGGTAAAAGTTTTCCCTTTGGTAAGTGTAGTTTCAGGAAAGGATTTTGAACTTTCTTCTTAAACACAATGTTTAGTGTACATTCCTCTATCTAGTTACTGTATGTTTTTGCATTTGGCATAGTAAAGGAAAATGACAACTCCTTTCCTTACAACTTCTGATCAAAAGACATGTATCTACAGGTTCTCTAATAAAAAAGTGGAAGATTATGCTAAATACATGAAATGTTCAGTGTTTATTTTTAGACATTACAACTGTGTACATTTGGCATGTTTACTTCTTGAAATGTATAAGAGATAAAAAAAATTTTCAGGAGGAAAATTATGCTGCTTAGAGTTCAAAAACTAAAATGTCAAGCCGCCCTTAAAAACACCCTGCCAAACAAGTTTATGAAGAGAATGGGTACAAAGAACTACTGTAATTATACATTATAGTTTTACACGTCCATTTCACACTTCAGCATGCAAACCTTCAAATGTTCGTCAAAGAGTATGATTTTCTTTAAGGAATAGGTAAGTCCATATTGCTAAATGTTTTGGTAAGTATCACCATTTAACAGCGCAATCTGCACAAGGTACAAGTTGGGATATTGTGACCATTATTTTCAAATTTTGGAGGATATGATATCATGTACTGTTCTGCAAGTATGAATGCCGAACAGAGGAAAAATTGTACATATGTGTAAATTTCAAACTGTTACATTCTGGCTATAGTTGTATAGTTGTGAGTACATTCATTGATACAAATTACAGTAATTTTACTGTTGGATATTTTGTGTCTTGGGATGACAACTCTAAAATGCTAACTACTTTTGCTCTTCAAGTGTAAGGGTGAAGTGAGATAAGTGTACATTTTCCAGTCTATATGATTCAGATATGGTCAGTGAAATACCCTATTATAAGTAGAGATTAATCCACAGATTAGTTGAGCCGGAAACGACATATCGATAAACCGGGATACAGTTGTTACTGGGGCAAAACTTTTCATTTCGAACTTCGTAGAAGTGCATGAACTTGCACTACTTTTATTAAATTTTATGGTTTACAAGAATACGCTGTATGCAAGCAGTACATACAGATAGGGCCACTGGTGATAGATATGTGCATACAGTACACAAGCTAGCCACCTCTGCATGTATGTATGTATGGTTGATCCACTGTGTATCCAATTTCAGTTCCAGTTTTCACGACTGTACGATCTCAGTGGAGACTCGTCATAAATGTCCGAGGGTGGGCACAAAGTGCACCATAATCAGGCAACTGCAGTTAATAGCCACTGCTGAGGTGGTACCATGCGAATGGGTAAGCTGCAGTCATTCCTAACGCTGGTTCGCACTTGATGTGAAAGCAAACACGAGCACGAAGCTGTGATGTCAGATCAAACATTCAGGCTGTGAATTCGCAAAAGATGCAAAACTTTCAATAACCGAATTTCACTTCAAAAGTTTTGTGATGTCGAATTCACTTGGCTTTAGTGTTTGCCTAAAGTATGACCCATCCTTTAGACACGAGGTGCGCTTGAATTTTGGCAACCTATTAGCTCTGTATATGAACAAGAGATGTGTGCTTACACAGCAACGGAGTCCCTTGCGTGGCAGCTTGTTATAGGTACATAAGAGTGCACGTGTACCTGATACAGGTTGCACTGAGCATGCACGATCAATTTACGTTGGAATATACGGTACAATCTTTACGTAAGCGCCGGGTGTATCTCTCTTTTACGCGGAGTGGGTTGGTAAAAATACATGTACATCGCGTACCTCAGTATACGTCTACCCTTTCTCCGAGTGTGGTTTCACATCAGTGAAGTGTCCTACTTGGAAGGCATGTGCATCTACATGTATATGTATTACAAAACTGATGATGCTGCAAATTTTCAAAAATGTTGATAGATATTGCAAATTCCATGTACCGGTACTTGTTTTAAAACACTTTTCGTACATGTACATCCTTGAGAATGGGAACTGGAAATTTGTTTGTAACAATGTGATTGCTTTTCCAATTATAAAAAGAAAAATCACTACCTGAAAATGTGTGGGAGAATATAACAATTCTGAAATGATAATCTTTTGGCTACTCGCTGCCATGGTTACCAGATCTGAGCTTTGAAGCAAACTCCTTGGCAACCATTTAAGTGCCGTCCTTTTCCCACAAATCCTGCCAGACTGCTTGGTACCCTGTTCAAGAGTAACAGCCTAGGTCATCATCACTCTCGTAGGCATTGTAATTCAGTGCCCTCTTGCCCGTTTTCTTCTTGATATCTGAGTACTGGCCGAAGTCTTCATCGCTAGACTGGTCGCCGTAACAATAATCATCTATCAGCTCATCAAACAGGTCAAGGTGCCCTGCAGGAACAAATATTTCACAAACCTCTTGGGTTAAGATATAAGATTTCACAGTTATCTTTCTGTTAACTCTGAAGTGCAATGAGTAAACGTCTGGTTTTCTATCAACTGGTTCCTACATGATTTTTTCTAAACAAGATTACATGTATTTCATGCATTGCGTGATTTTTAGAAAGCCATTTTGCTCTTTACAATACATTTCTGCAAACGTTTGTGAACTAACTTTTATCAGGTTCATCCTCTGGATATTCATTCCTCCAGTTGTTCTCATCATTGCTGTCACTGTCATCGTCATATGTCTCTTCAAATTCCTCCTCCTCCTGAGACACCAGGTACTCAAGGAAGAGTTCCTGATCAGCTCCACCCATCGCCAGTGCCCCGTTCATATCCAGCTGCCCATCTTCAATGTAGTACAGGTCGTAGACATAGTCAGATTCTTTAGCCTGGTCATCAAGGACCAGTTTCTCCCGCACCATCTGAACGGAATTGCAGAGGATGACATCAGGGTTAGGGGGGCTCTTCTTGTCAGGTGATTTACATGCTGCCTAATGAGATAACAAATTATTCAATGAGCTTCACCTGGTTAAATAGCTGGCTTAACTCTGCATCACTAGCTTACCAATTTAAGAATGACACCTTTTGCATAATACATACCCAAAGTATGTGAAATAATGTTTTTTGTGTTGTATCAAAACAGATAAAACAGTATCAATTTTTATGATTTTGACACCGGTTGGCTTTCTTTAAGAAGTCATTAATTTTCACGAGAACGCTATAATTATGGTCCGCATGAAATACAGAGACAAAGTTTTCAGAAAAGGTTTGTGCACTGCAAGTTTGTGCACTGCAGATTTTGAAGGCTCAACAATATTTTAAAAACTTACAAGTAAGAAAATGTCCAGTTTTAAGAGTACGTACATGTATCCATGCTAGTCACATTTAAGGCTGGTTCATACATGTACTTCAAGGAAAAGGGAACACAAACGCAAATTTGTAACATCAGATCAAAAGTCACACTGCACAGTCACAAAAGTTGAGCACTTTTCAACAAGTGAATTTCACTGAGAATGTTTGGCATGGTCAAGTTTGCTTCATTTTCACACTTGTTAAAAGAAGAAACTGGCCTTTAGAAGTTGATTTTTCTCTCACTATACATGTACAATTACAAAGCAACAATTCAATAATTGTGCAGATGTAAATGTACGTACACCAAACCCTCCTATATGCAAGCACGCCGTCGAAATATCTTGTGAAAAATACTGCATCTAATTAGGAACACCTTTGTATATTACTCTAAGCACATACCCACACATTTATCACTTCTGATCTCGGACACGAACTGAAAAACCCCAAACACAATTTCAGCTTATGTGACTTGATGTGACTCGACACTGAAGACAGACATTTGATTGTTGCTTTAAAAATTCCTTCGTGACATTGAGACTGACAGTCTGACGGCTTGTCATAACACAGAGTGTAATAAATGATGATGCCTCCGATTAAAGCAAGTACAGGTACATGTACATTCCAAAGTTGAAGCTTAATTTTATGGTGATGCTAAGTACATGTACCTGTAGAGGATACTACTTAGCAAATCTGTACTTGTACCGGTATGCTTAGCAAAAATCTCCTGAGAACCACTAACGAGCTGCCTCCATTTCATCCTACTACATGTACATGTATACATGTTCATATAGTACTTGTAAACTTTGTAACTCTTCCAAAAAACAACAAAAAAAACCTGTTTGAAAACTAAGGTACATTTCCATCATCAATGAGTGTTTAAAGTCCTACCCCAAAGCAAAACTAAGGATTGGTTTACTGACCGTCTCCATCACTCCGTTGTTTATTATGTACAGTACCTCACAGACCTGGTCAGTTCACTTTCACCTCACTTTTACTTTATCTACATGTATAATACAGTACTATAGTGGATGGAGGCCTCTAAAAAGTATACATGTAGCTTGTCGAGTAGAAACCCCATGTTATGTATTCATACTTACCATATCACAGTTAGTTACAAAACACAATTAACCATAGTTATGAAAAGTGAGTAGGAAGTACTATACACACATGTACAATATATAATCATTAATACTGACCTGTAACACCATGAAAAAAACAACAGAACTTAGTTATTTACAAGATACAGTAATCATTCAACAATTTATATTCATGTTTATGCTTGAAAACAGAAAGACTGGCAATATTTTTCAAGGATAATTCTACTGAACTCCATAGCTTAGGCCACTCAAGTTTCACAGTTGCTCTAGATATTGCATGTGATCAATGAAATTCATGGCTTTGCCTTGTGCAGTGATAACAGATTTCTTTATTTTTTTTATATATATAATGAACAAATAGATTTGGGTAGTTTGTTGTTGTTGTTGAGTTCAAACATGAAGGACCCTAGCTGATAGAGAATAAAAATCTTTAACTTTCAATGTGCAGCAATTGTAGAAGAAAGGATCAGTGTGGTTTCAGATACTCACATTTTACCAGAAAGAAATCAATCTTTTAAATCAACTCTTATTTTCTGCAAAACAGGATGAAATATATTGTGATTCTGAGTTTAAACTGAATTATGACGACATACTAATACATGTACAGGTACACCTCAGTAGTATGAAAGGTACCACAAAATTTCAAAAAGCACCTTTGGGGGCTTCATTTTACCTGGAATGTTTTAGCCGAGCCTTCTTAGAATAAACTATTTGACCACTGGAAGACAGCTAAAAATCTGTGTCTTATTCTGTACTGTACATGTACCGTACAGTGCACGTGCCATCTATTGGACGACAACTGAAGACAGGTTGAAGGCTCATTTTTTTCACACAAGTTTTGCCAAGAGTTCACATAGACAAAACACCAGAATTTAATCAAGACTTGAACTTTATTTTTCTTTCAATCTGCAATGTTTTGAATCTGCTAGGTAACACAAACTGAAGAGTACTTTCAATCTAACATTGATTTAAAGTGGAAAAGAGTTTGTTTTTTCTGTTTTCCACATAATCTGAAAGCATGGATGATGGCATGCAAAGCACTGCTGCAAATTCTTCAAGCGTGTTAAATAACCCAATTTATTAAGCATCGCTTAGTGCCTCTGGACTCATGGGCTCCCTACTGTCTGCTAATCAGCACTTGTACCATCCAGTCACTGTCCGCATTGCATATTTTACTGTAAGGGGGGCTTGGCGGCAAAACCTACATGAATATGCTCAGGAAATGCCATGGGGCCATGAACAGGGATAATTCTATCGACCAGCTTGCAGTCTTTGCTGCTGTACAGGTAGTTGTCCCCCAAACAATCAGGAAAATCCAATTGCTGTCAATTTGAGGACTTGCACTGACATGTACGATGTACATGTAAGTCACAATGCACGATAAGGCAGGCTGAGAATCGAACCATTCCTAGTCAAAAATGTTTGGTCCAACTTAGAAATTTAAGACTCGAACACAATCAATGGCAATTAACCTGTCTGCTTTATGGTAACAATGTCGAATACTCTAATTTTAATACGAATTTTCTCAAGCCCTGGGGGTAATATCATTGAAAAGTAAACCTACATACACACCTAGATGGCAAAAATCTGAACTCAAGACCTTAGCCCACCCTGTCTCATGATATATCACTCCATCTACATATACATGTACAATGTACAATGTACCTTTCAACTTGGGACCCAAGTTGACCTTGCAACTGAATGTCAGGAACACACATTGTAAGGTTTATTATAATTTCAAAGAAGCCATTAAATGTGGAAAAGAGATTTCAAACTGTTCACTTCTGCCTGTATAGATCGTGTATCCAAATCCAATAGATTATTCTCACTGGACGCCATCTACTGTATGTAGGAAAATTACAACTGTGTATCATCGCCAACAGGTGCTTCTGCACTTGGTATGCAATCTTTATGTTCTGTACTTGCACGCACGTTGATCCAAATATCTTTGAAATACAGAGCAGCCGATGCATGTCATGAAAATTTGAAGTCAAAAATCCCGATGCTCGTGGCAATCTGTAGGAAGTGAGGTCATTGGAGAGAGACCTTTACTAAGTACATGTACCCAATAAATTGATCTATATGTACATGTATACACCCCTCTGCACTCTCTCTCCCATGCATGTACCTGTAGAACTTGAATCAATCTTCAAATCACATCAAAATTATTAGCTGGATTATGGTTCCAGCATTTCTTGAAAACTGTACACTCTGACACTCTAAGGGCTGTTTTTTTCACATGGATCTAAATCTCAAATTAGTGGTCCCAATGCTGGTTCGTTTCATATATTACTGTACATGTCCTGGAACATGTAAGGTAGGTACTGGTGTCAGTGAACCAATGACAGACCACTGATTATGATCTTGATACATGTGAAACAAAAAACCCAGGCCCTAGCATTTACCTCATGCTACATGTAATTAAAGTCTCCACGGATTTCTCTACAACTGTAAACCTCAGGATGCCAGTTTTCTTCAAGAAAACCAATCAGAAACTTGTTTATTATGATTAGAAGAAAATAGCCAACAGACAGAGTTGTTTTCGAGTCCATCACAAGCCCCTTCACAAGGCCAATCTTCAGTAACAGGGGGAATAATGACAAAGGAATGCTTTTGTCACAGTTCATTTAAATAGCTTGTGAATTGGCTTAAGACTGAATGACTTGTGATGAACTCGAATACATGTACAACATTGCACACAGAAAAGCTCCTTACAAAATATACATGTACACACGTACATGTAGTGTGTGTGAAGTTACCTGCGATTGGCCGTTGGTTGTGGGTACTCCCTCATCCTGTGCAACGTCATACAAACAGAACAGTTTCTTTGCTTCATCCTCGACAGATGTGTCAGTGGCCGGAGCCGCCTTTTTCATGCGGTTCCAAAGTTTTAGTTTTGAGGGCGTCCGTTTGACGGGGGCAGTCTTTTTGGCCGGCGGGTTCTTGGACAAGGTGTCCAGTTCAGTCAGGTCAATTCCGCGGTGGCTAGACAGTATCTGGAATCGGCGTGTCTGCGAAACCTTCTGCTGGATGCTGCGGGACTTCTCCCGGGACTTGGACTTGGATGACTTGGACTTCGTGATAGACTTTGTGGGCTTGGAGGAGGTGATGGCTGGTTTCTGTGTGGCTTTCTTAATGGCCTCTTCAATCTGCTGGGCAATTGGCTCATCCTGCAAACAACATGAGAGCAGGAAACTCAAATTAAAAACCATGTTCAGGACTCTGGTTATTGCACTGTACCCTGTATGATCTTCAGTGCCTCTCTAGCACTGGATCAATTTTCCAATCAATTTGCAAGTCTTTGCCAAGGACAAACAAATGAACTGCTCATCACACATGTATTTCAGGTGCCTCTCTTCACAAGTAAGATGCTGGGTCTGGACTTTAGTGAACAATTCCCCCATACGCATACATGCACACGTATCCAAATCAAATGAGTTCATTGCAATATCGCTCCATTATGTTTTTGCAGAGCATGCAAAAGTGGTGAGCAATTTATTTTTCCTGCAAATATTTAAGTAGGATTACGATAAAAAAGAAACAATAACTAATAATTATGATGTGTTTTTATCACCATGTTCTTGTGGGAGCGTTTAAACAAACAGACCCTATTAATTCGGGAAAAGTACTCTTATCTCATGTATAAAACCCAGTGGCTTATCGGGGAGGGGGCAGTGTCCCCCTTATGGATTTTTTCAAACTTTTAAAAAGTTTTTTCCCAACTGAGAATACTTTATAGGCGAGTAGGAAAGAAACTAATTGGTATATTTATTTCTCAACTAAAAAGACTATATTTTCTCTCTCATCATCATGTTGAATGGGCATGAAAGTGTGTTTGCTTTTGAATTTGTCCTCCTGAAACAAAAGCTGGATATACGCCACTGCTAAAACCAGACACAGTCTCCTCTGTTTTTATTTTAAAACAATATTTTAAATACCAAGGGTTGGATGTTTATAAGTTTAAACTTTTAAACGAAACAAGTTCCAAAGCCGTTTACAGATTTTCCAAAGCATTTAAACAGAACTGCCCCTTTTAGAGGCTTGACGTTTTGAGTTCAGTTTTTTATGGTAAACGATGCCTGTAAAATGCGATCTGATTTTCAGAACACTTTTCCATTTCGGCATCCATGCACTACTTGAAAAAAAGTGGATTCTAAAACAATACACATCACTTGTTTTGAATGGCTATGTAAAATCCTACATTTTTACATTAATTGGACCATGTGCATTGTTGAATTATATAATTATGCATATGAAAAACTGAGGTAGGCAGTGGTGGCCTCTGTAAAGTGTTGACTAAGCATTTAAACGGAATGAGAAAGTTTTCCAAATGTTTTTCAAATTAAATTTTAATTCTCACCCTTAATAAATATACACTTGAAGGCCAAGATGGCAATATGAGCCCTCTACTCTACAATCTGTGTCACTTCAATTAACTCTACTGAAAAGTGCACTGGTTGTATAATTTTTTTCTGTCCTTCCATCCAAAATTGCAAGGTCAAATGAAGTACGCTTGTAAATGAAAAAAAACAAACCAACCCCTTACTAAATTATATACATGTATATCAACCGACTATCAGGTCAAGGAGTATCAACACCTCATTACTGCCACGTACAAACGCTTCATCAAATCCCGTAAACAATGATACACAAACAGTTAATTCCAGTGCATGTACTAGTATGAGGTGGAAACACTGGATTCACGATCACCCTTTGAAATATCAAATGCCTTGGCAGATGGCTGGAAGTGTGAAGGTTACAGTAGGGATAATTGAGGCGAGTGGGTGTTCTCTCGCACGCTGGCTGGGTAGGGTACATCAAATCCTTCACATGGGGGGGGAGCCAAATCAAAGATGCATTGGATGATACCGTACCACTGCATCTCTCATCAGTGCGAGAGGTCTTAATCAGGAAGTTAAAGCGGCAGCGGCAGTTTTACCAGCATTCTCAGGGGTTGCATGCAAGCACCCCTTAATATGAACCCAATTTACACCATACTATGCAGTATACTTGAACTGCTACACTTGTACATGCAAGCAGGAAATAAACAATTTAGCTTGTTAGGCTAAACTCGGTGGAAAACAAGACAATAAGCAATACATATACACAAAAATGGTACCAGTAGATGACAAAGCTGAGAAGCTAATAACTACATGTAGGACGAAACTAAACAGCTACCAAAAAAAATAGAACAAAAACATCTGCTATGTTTCATTGGGGGTAAATCTTCAACAATCTCCTTCCTTAAAATTGAGCTAGGAAATCAGTCTGGTTTACATGTATTTCCTCTCAAGAAATTTAATGTTCCTGTTGTGATGTTCACATGTAACAGTGAACTTGCAGGTGCTCGAGCCAATATTTCAAGGAGATTAATATGGCTGTGTTTGTTTCTAGTTAGGCATCGGATATCAGGCACATTTCTTGTATTGTGATATAGGAATGAAACAAAGTAACTGTGCACGGGAGAATTATTGACTGTATTCATTTCCTTGGCTGATACCACGAACCGAAACAATCTCTCTTGAAGGTGTTTTGACGAAGGATGCCGATATTGTATCGTGTGATGGCTGCGACGTTTTTCTTCCCTGGAGAGGAGATGAAAGGCTACGCCACGGTTGCCTGAGCGTCACATTTTTCAGAGAGTGTCCCTCGGATTTACAAATGTACATGTATCTCTCACGGTCCACCTGTGCACAAAGTGTCAATAGGTTTCACGCAGGTACTGCGCATTGTCCCCACGGTAACTGGGAACTGTCATTATCCATCAGTGATCACCTTTGAATGTCATTAACCGCTCAGTGAACCTTTCAGACAGACAAGCCCTCAAGATTGGGACAATCGAGAGCACTATGGGGAATCTGCGATTGAACGAAGGATTCGTAAATGCGATCTAAATGCTTGATACAGTGTACATGTACATGTACATGAACACATGTCTCATTTATGACAGACAGCAAAAATATTGATTGTCTTAATGTCAGACAACATCCATCTTTTTGGTATGTCCCAATACAAGAAATTTATGAGGCATGCAAACAGTTCCAGCCTTTTTTTAAACATGCATGTACAGTAACTACACCCGGCAACCAAAATAAGCTCTTAGGTACAAATGCATCAATAATTGCATAGGGTCTGAAGGACGAAAAACATCACCATCATCAAGATTTTCAAATGTCATGCAAATGTGCAACCCACAAGTAATGAAAATGTCCTCTCCCATGGATATTAAATTAATTATCAAAATACACCTGTTATACTTCTATGAAATAACAATTAATAAACTACATATCATTCCACTTTGTGATAAATGTTATTAGCAAATTACATACATGTACATGTACATGTACTGAACCACAGAGGAACAAAAATGTAATTATGTTCGACGTTACATTCTTTGCTTCACAGCATCATGGGTGCCCTGATGGATAGACAATGATGAAACCACTGAATCTGAAAATTATAAATGGTGCCAGTCTTTCATTTGTAATAGCAAAGCGAAATTAAAAGCAATTGAAATTCTCTCTCTCTTCTACCCATAATGAAGTCCTAATCACATCCTATTTTGTCCACTGCTTTTGTGATGAATTACACTGTCAATGCATGGCATCTCATGTGCGACTTCCATCCACTGCCTGCAATGATTGCCGTTATCACTACCACAACCCAGGTTATCATCTCTTATTAAAGTAACGGTATTGTCTTGGCTTGACGAAGGCCCAGTACACGTAGACTGCCCATCTCAAATGAAAGCTTCCCACTGGGAATACCACTTGCCTCCTCTCACAATTTCTGTTTTGTCTGATTGGGTTGAGGGACCTTAGCACCACTAAGAAAAGTCAGAATTTTTAATGTAAATGGATTCTACTAAAATATACAACATTCAGTAACAACTCAAAAATGTTACCCACATGTATAATGAATGAAGTGCTCCAAGCTTTACTGCCATTAATGTAGGGTTTCTACATGTACATTGAAATCCATGAGAACAAATGATGAGAATAAAGCCCCTTTTACCACCCTAAAGAAACTAACAGTGCCCATACACACATGTACATGTACCGGTACATACATGTACAGCAGGTAGCAAACTAAACTGAATATGGAGAGCCATAAAGAATTACAACACAATTTTGATAGAAAGGATGTTTGTTTGGACCCTTAAATTACCATCAAGCAAGCATGTAGTGGAACCTTTGACCTACATGTACAGGTACATGCACATGTGTACATGTGATTTACTGACGGTTGTACTGCCCCAATACAGAAGTCTTTATATTCTATACACAACACCCATAAAAGTAAATCCAACACAGATTGTGCAAGAGAATTAACAATTCCTATTACTAAATAAGACTGGAAGCCTGGCAGTCTGGGCAGAGAACTAAAGGCTCAGGATTTACAGTTTTGACCTTGGGAAAAATATGGGCAGTAGGCTGGGAGGCAGGCAGATTCAACTTCTGGCTTTAACATCAAAGAGGCGCCTGTCTCTTTAAGTACCAGTAGAATGCCATCAGTTCCCATCAAGTGGGAACTGATGAAAACTGGAACTCAAAAAGCATACATACTGTATGTAGCTTCTTTCACTTTAAGAATACATCAGTGTAAACATGCTAGTGGGATGCTTGCAATCTTTCGCCAGTTGCCATGGTGCTGATGGGGGAGAACCTTGGGGAGCAGGGATTGTCACACTAGTCAGATGATTTATTTCGTTCCAGGTTCCATCCATGCGTCATTCACTGAGGGCTGACCAGGCATCCAAAAAGGACCTGGCCTGCTTTCCTGCCTTGACACGCCACTAGCCCCTCACTGAACCTGAACATCAGCCTTGACTCAGACATGTACATGTACAAAGGTGGTTCAGCATTGTAGAGACAGAATTAATGTACACGGTAGGAGTGATTTTTGCAGCGTTGTTGTCTAAATGTGCTTATTATTCACTACTTTACAATCTTCTTGGGGGCCAACTGAAACATTACATGTATGTTGGGTTTAAGCATAGAGCCACAGCTGTTCTCCAATTTAAAGCACTTGTGATGGTAACCACTGGTGAAATCTGAAACCATATTGGTTGTTAACTTGTTACGCCTTTTCATTGTGGGTTTACATGTATATATGTACAATACATACGCGCAGTAATCGCAATTATACAAGTTGGGTATGGCTGTAGGGA